TTTAACCCGAGAAAGATAACCTACGTCGCAGAGGCGCCTGCGAAGACTGTTGATTTTTGTTAATTTTTCATAGAGGTCTAGTGATTTAAGTTTAAAATTACTTAAAATATAAAAAAATATAATATAAATGCATTTTATTTTTACAATAATGCCAAACCTTTAAAATGACTAGATTAACTTAAATAAATATCCATTGTTAGTATAAAATTGACGCCTTAGAAAAGCATGCGCCTCTGAAGCGTATGGTTATCTTTTATCATATGGTTATCTTTCTAGGGTTAAAGAAATTCTGATCTTTAGAATCGATAAACTCTGATATGGAATTTTTCAGGCTGTCTTCATTTTCATACCGTTTAGCCAGTAAAAACTGTTCTAAATGTTTAAACAAATGAAAGTCGGTTGGCGAAAGATCCGGCGAATAAGCTGGCTGCTGCACAATTTCATATTTTAATTCATTTAATTTCGCAATTGTTTTGTACGGCGTATGCGGCCGAGCTTTGTCGCGGAGAAGTATTTGGCCACGCCGATTAACAAGCGACGGGCGTATAATTTTCAATTTTTCGTGCGTTTCATCGATGTACCGGCAGTGCTTTTCGGCTGCAATTGTCTCCCCGGTTCGAAGGAACGAGCAGCGAATTACTCCGGTCGCATTCGTTTCCACCGATGCTTTCGGAGCATCGTTTTTCACAGACGTTTCGGGCCTTCCACGCGGTTCATTTTCCAGGGAAAAATCACCGGACCGAAAATTTTCAAAGCAACGCTGCACTTTTCGATCGTTAATTCTCCCCAAACGCCTGGTTTATATTGCGTGCAGCTTTTGCAACATTAATACCAAGTTTATACTCGTCTAAAAAAATTACACGAATATCGGTTGATTCGTATCTTCACGAAATTCAAAAGAAATAACAAAATGGAACACTATTGAGAAAATCTTCTTTGTTGAAACGTGACTCTGGCAATGGACAGCGAGCCTATAATCGAGGTTATGCAAAAAACAAAAGGATAACAAAAACAGGGAGACGAACGTTCGCTTGTAAAGAAAACTCAACACATTTCATATGCACCAACCTAATAGACGCCAACGAGAATAGACGCTTCGATATCGAAGTGTGCAATTCAAGAGTGGAAAATTTAGATTCCCAAAAGACCAAGCTACGTCGCCTCGGTTGTGGAAATGACCGCTTTTTAGTTATTGTCGAGATATTTGCAATATTCGGCCAGCGTAGTGTCAATGTCGCGAGCGTGACGTCACGAGATACCGCTGACAGTTCTCGTAGATATCGAGAGATTTAAGAGTTCGAATCGAAAATTCGTAACTACAACGCGACGATCAACTCCGACAAGGTCAAATCGAGAGCCTAACCCTTTTAAGAACCGAAGAACAGGGGATTGTTTAGAAAGATTAGTGAACTTTTACTATCGTTTCGAGCGTGTTGTTTTGATAAGACAAGCGACGATGTTGGCAAATGGTATCGCCGTTCTTTGAAATCTCAAAATAGACGCGAGATAAAAAGTTATTATAGTCTGTTGCACCACTCGTAGTTCTTGTAATCCTGAATTTCCCAAGCTGTGTGACGCAAGCATCCTGCCAAAGAAACAATTTCATAACGAAAACAATGACCATTTATGATCCCCGTACAATTAGACAGATTTTATTAGATTTTACAATGTATACGACAGGATTTGTAATCGAAAGTCTCACTGGAAGGTTCGCAGATTGACATAGTCGACGGTTAAATTATTGTTACGAAAGAATAATATTTAAACCCAATGAAACGACAACTTTAGTTCGAACGAATAAGTTCGACCATTTTTATCGTCAACCGCATCTGCAAATATGACGCACCTATAGAATGAATTGCATACTGCAAAGATCAACCGTGAAGGTATCTTTGCCAGCTGCAATCTCGGGCTAATATTTATGGGATACGATTTTTCTGATACAGAAACGTTCACGCTCCGCTTTTTTGCTTGCAATCGATCATCCGTATCGACGCTTCCGCAAATTATTTCACTCGGTGCATACATAGCTACGTACATACATATATAGCATAACGGACTCCTTTGACCGATAGGCAGAATTCAAATAAACAGTAGCGATAAAATACATGTTATTCTAACGTTGTTTGCAATTCCGTCTCTATCTCGATCCGTGTTTGAACGTGAGAACATGTCACTGCACTTCAATCTCGTTTCAGTGTTCTGCACCTCAATGTACATACAATCTCGCCGCACTGTATCATTTTTCCCGGTCTCAGATCGTCGCGATTAAACTTCTCAAGTTATTAATCTTCATTATCAAGGAAATATCATTTTATCGGTTTCTTTTATCCTCGTTCTTTTTACAATGTTGCTAAAAAAATAGAGAACGTCTGCTCGATTTTTTGTATAATATTATTAATATTATTATTATTATATTGTTAATATTATTATTATTAATATTATATTATAATAATATTATTATTAATAGTATTATATTATAATAATAATATTATTATTAATATTATATTATAATAATATTATTATTAATAGTATTATATTATAATAATAATATTATTATTAATATTATATTATAATAATATTATTATTAATAGTATTATATTATAATAATAATATTATTATTAATATTATATTATAATAATATTATTACTAGTAATATTATATTATAATAATATTGTTATTAGTAATATTATATTATAATAATATTATATTAATAGTATTATATTATAATAATAATATTATTATTAATATTATATTATAATAATATTATATTAATAGTATTATATTATAATAATAATATTATTATTAATATTATATTATAATAATATTATATTAATAGTATTATATTATAATAATAATATTATTATTAATATTATATTATAATAATATTATATTAATAGTATTATATTATAATAATAATATTATTATTAATATTATATTATAATAATATTATATTAATAGTATTATATTATAATAATAATATTATTATTAATATTATATTATAATAATATTATATTAATAGTATTATATTATAATAATAATATTATTATTAATATTATATTATTAATATTATATCATAATAATATTATATTAGCAGTATTATAATAATATTATTATTATTAATATTATCAGCTCAGTTTGTACGTGATTTTTAAATCGTGCGTGTTTTTCAGGGTTAGGTGCCTTCGGAATAGGACTGCTAAGTTCCGGCGCGGTGTTGACTACTTTGACGTTATACTTCGCCGTGGATGCTTGCCACAATGTTTTCTACCAAAAAGAGTCGAGTTTCTACAAAACCAGCAGCATCATGATCCTGTCGATGTATCCGGTCGCAAGTATTTGCAGTTTGACAGCGATAGCAATACCAAGGTACATACATACACGCATCGCAAACTTCTGACAATATCGTTTTAGATCGAATTCTTGGTACGGCGATGCACGCGTTTTCAATACGAACAAAAAATCGAATAAGCGACGTCGCTCTTCTAATGATAGCGATCAAGTGCGGTGTCTACCGTTATTGAAACTCGGACATCGAACTGGGTCGTTCACAGTTTCAGTAACATTTTAATAGACGCCGGTAAATAATATCTCAAGGCTGCGAAGCATTTTCTACTTGTGTATCGTCAATAATGATTCGTGAAAGTAAATACAACACGGTTTCGCACTAACACGATAGGATAAATTGCGGGAACCCGCGTATAAGCACTGCAACCTATAGCACTGTTTCCACTATAACGCGATAAGGAAATTGCGGAGACCTTTGCGCGACACTGAACTTCTACGGCACTGGATAGCATGATTTTGGTTCAACATATTTAAAAACTAAATGACCTTAAAATGATAATAGGAAGGAATAACGAACTATAGTGCCTTTACGTGAAAATATAATCATTATAATTAACGCTTTGCACTCGAGTGGTGAGTCTGAGACATCGCTAAAAATTTGTTATATCACGTTCTAAAATAATTTTTATGTTAACCTTTTAGGCACGACGCGTCGCTATAGTGGCTTTCGCGGATATCACCTTTTAGAACGACACGCCACTATAGTGGCTTTCGCGGATGTATTATTAATAATAATAATAATAATAATAATAATATTAATAATATAATATTAATGTTAATAATATTGACAATATAATATTAATAATATAATATTAATATTGATAATATTGACAATATAATATTAATAATATAATATTAATATTAATAATATTGACAATATAATATTAATAATGTAATATTAATATTAATAATATTGACAATATAATATTAATAATATAATATTAATATTAATAATATTGACAATATAATATTAATAATATAATATTAATAATATAATATTAATATTAATAATATGATATTAATAATAATAATAATAATGTTATATAATATTAATGTAATATATTATCTTAGTAAAAAAAGAACTATGTGAAGAAGGTAATATCATGACACATTGAAATCATTACTTAATCATCAAAAATCGGTAATGTAAATAAGTAGGCACTATTTCATTAATCGAATGAGCTACAAAATATTGCATTACTGCAAAACAAGACCGTAGTTTATACACACGTTACAGATACCCGTGGTGGTTGCAATACGTTTCACACGTTTATCCTTCGTGCACGAGCTCGACATTTAACGCGAGTAAACCAATGAAAAACATTGTCGATAATCACAGGGCAACCGATCAACAAAGCGCTAAAAGTTGACAGCGGCTCGGGACGTTGGAAAAAATTCTGAGACTCACGTCGGTGCGATGAGACTGGCGGGCTCTCTCTCTCTCTCTCTCTCTCTCTCTCTCTCTCTCTCTCTCTCTCTCTCTCGGGCTGCCTTCGGAGATTAATTTAGTAGGACGGAGGTTCACATGCAACAACCGGAGAATACAAAAAAGTCGATAAGGCGTGTCCAGTCTCGACACGGGAGGTAACGAAGCGTTGGCAATGAAGTAAACCAGAAAATCCACTTAAGGGGCCTCGAGAAAAAGCGGAAACGCGATCGAATGACCCGCAAGGTCCCGGACAAAAGGGACAGCATCTCCTTGAGACAGTTTTTAACGACCCCGAAAAACACGGCCGGAGAAAAACTGGGGCCGCGGCACCCTAATGATCATGATTTCCCGAGATAGAGCGTACCCGTCGCCGGCCCGTGTCACACCTGCGCGCGGTTTACGCCGAAAATTCGATCGGTTTTACCGATAAGCCGAAGGGCGACGGTATAGTGACACGGAAATTCCATTGCCGTGAAAACCCCATCAATATTTCCGACGTGTCCCCCTCAACAATTCTCGATCTAAATATTCCGGCCGCGCAACCGAAAGGACTTTTCGAGGAGAGTTCAGCTGGACCAGTTCCATTTTCTGGATAGCTTCTTCGCATACGGTAGCGGTCACAATTTGAGGACGATGAATTTTAATTTCAGTTATACGCGCGTTGAATTGCGTAGTATACGTGTAGATGCGGGTCTCGATTTTTAGTGTTCTGGGTGTCACGTCGGACATATATGGGTGATACTAATTTTTTATCAGTTTTGAACATTCATTTTCATTGTAATACATTCGAACGAACTGAATTTGGCCAGGATGTTTCGGATGCGGAAGAGTTCCAATATGATGAATTTAATTTTCTAGTTTGGGTTCACAGTTAATAGCAATTAGTATCGATTAATATTAATTTTTACCAAGTAATACCAATTAGTACAAACCAATAGTATTTTTTGCCAATTAATACCAATTGGTATCAATTAATAGTATTTTTTGCCAATTAATACCAATTGGTGTCAATTAATATTATTTTTTACCAATTAATACAATTAATACCAATTAATATTATTTTTTTCCAATTAATACAATTA